GGCCTCTAAATTTGTTGCCTGTTTTCTCGTGGTGAGGAACTATCTTCCTTACTTGTTAGGGGATAAGACGTTTTTATAGTTCTCCTTGAAATTTCTATGCATGCTAATTTACTGATTTTTTTTGCAGTTTGAGGTGATATCTCGATTCTAAAAATCTGCCAGATTTCTTCTCCCTGTTTGTATGGACAAATTTGGGGACGAACCCTAGTCTGTGTGTCAAGCAGCCAAAGTGGTGTTCTTGTGGAGCAAAGCTAAAACTGCAGCAGTTGGTGAGGATACAGGAGATACCGGAGGGGTGAAGGGCTTGTTAGGTTCTGCATAGGCACTCATATTGGCTGGTATTTTTTTTCCATCAACTGGGGCCGGATTTGCGGAAGTGCACCCCTCTTGGATTAAGCAAGAACAAAGCCTCGCAATTTTAGGATTCGGCACAATACCATCTAAGTGAACAAGTAAAGAGCCATTTGATCTTGGACATGGAGAAGCAATCCAGCACCCGGCATGGTGCCCTAGAGAAATTGAAGAGCTTCCGGGGGATAGAGAAGCAGAGAAGCTTCAAGTTTTTGTCCATGGAGAAGCAGCAGAGCTTCAAAAGGAACAAGGACAGCCCTGGGAAGCGGGGTGACACCGAGCTCCACCTTGCGGCGAGGGCTGGCAGTGTTGCACATGTCCAGAGGATCCTTGCGGAGTGTGATCCGGAGCTGGTGGTGGAGTTAGCTGCCCGCCAGAATCAGGATGGTGAGACTGCGTTGTATGTGTCTGCTGAGAAGGGGCATGTTGAAGTTGTGTGTGAGATTTTGAAGGCTTCTGATGTGCAGTCAGCCGGACTCAAGGCCAGTAACAGCTTCGATGCATTCCATATTGCGGCAAAGCAGGGCCATTTGGGTGAGCTTTCATTCCTTCATCATTAATTAGTTGAGGATTAGGCTAGTGTGAATTGGAATTCTTTAATATTTGGATTCACTGGCTGTACTGGCAGTTCTATGTGATCTTTTGTATTGGTCATTATGCTTGCAGTTGGTATGTTTATAAAAATTGATTTGTATCTCATTGACTTCTGCAAATCTCTATGATCATGAAAGAACTGTTTCCCTCATTTTTTCCCCTTCAGGAACATAGATTATTCAAACAGTCCCTGATTTCCTTTTGCTCAGATGGCTGATAAATTTACTTGGTTGATCTGGTCTAGATTACAACCTACCATGTCTGTCTTTCTTGGTTTTACAGACAAATTGTTGATTTCTCAGAGTTGGCAATTTTCTACAATATTGCCATGTTGTTGCGTCTAAATCAAAGAACTGGCAATCCTATATCTAGTGACGAGATATGCTCCCTACTACTTGTCTGCTCAGCCAGGAGCCTTCACCAGACCAATTAGGCTATGTAATTTCTGATATTTGAGTTAGTATGCTGTGTTGAAGAGCAAACTATTACACAGTTGTTATTTAATCTTATTTTTCAAAGCTTGTATATTCTCTTCTTTCAGAGAAAGAGATCATATTAGTTCAATTTTGGTCTTTGCAGATGTCTTGAAGGAGCTGTTACAGGCCTTTCCCTCATTAGCAATGACAACAAATTCTGTAAATGCCACAGCTTTGGACACTGCTGCAACTCAGGGCCACATTGACATTGTTAATCTTCTGCTAGAAACAGATGCAAGCCTTGCTAGGATTGCAAGAAATAATGGCAAGACAGTTTTGCATTCAGCAGCAAGAATGGGCCATGTGGAGGTGGTCACTGCACTGTTAAATAAGGATCCAGGGATTGGTTTCAGAACAGATAAGAAGGGACAAACAGCTCTACACATGGCTTCAAAAGGCCAAAATGCAGAAATTCTGCTCGAGTTGTTGAAGCCTGATGTCTCAGTTATCCATGTAGAAGACGGCAAGGGGAATAGACCATTGCATGTTGCAACTCGGAAGGGAAACACCATTGTAAGTGACATTATCTCAGAATGTTCTGATTTCTGCCGCGGTTTGAGTCTTCCCGTTTTACATTTTAACAATAAGATGTTTTGTTGTATTTGAAGGGCGGGCCTGGTGCAAGCGGTAGAGTCTTACCGCCTGTGACCGGAAGGTCCCGGGTTCGAGTCGCAGTCTCCTCGCATTGCACAGGCGAGGGTAAGGCTTGCCACTGACACCCTTCCCCAGACTCCGCACAGAGTGGGAGCTCTCTGCACTGGGAACACCCTTATGTTTTGTTGTATTTATGGTTGAAGCTATGTTTCTCAGGAGAATTACTAAAATAGAGTTACTCACATTCGTGAGATATTACTTGCTTAATACTTAAGTCTCCAATGTTTTATAAAAGAGTTCTAAGAAGAATTTGCATCTTTTCAGGAATCAAACAAAAGTTAGTTCAGGTCGTACTAAAAAAGAATGCTTTCTTCCTTTAAAAAAGCAAGGAATTTCTAAGAGGTTTTGGATTGAATATTGCTCAATCTTAAGAATAGCATGCAATTTGCATTTCAAAGAACTGATTACTTGTGCTTTATCTGAAATTCGTCTGTTCCTTACAGATGGTTCAGACCCTAATATCAGTTGAGGGGATTGAAATCAATGCGGTTAATAGAGCTGGAGAGACTGCTTTTGCTATTGCAGAGAAACAAGGTAATGAAGAGCTCATTAATATCCTGAGGGAGGTTGGTGGAGAAACTGCAAAAGAGCAAGTAAATCCTCCTAATCCAGCAAAGCAGCTTAAGCAGACAGTCAGTGATATCAGGCATGATGTTCAATCACAGATCAAGCAAACACGCCAGACCAAGATGCAATTCCAAAAAATCAAGAAGAGAATTCGAAAGCTCCACATTGGTGGGCTAAACAACGCCATTAACTCCAACACTGTTGTTGCGGTGCTTATTGCCACCGTTGCTTTTGCCGCCATATTCCAACTCCCTGGTAATTTTCTGGAGAATATGACTCAAGCACCTGATCCAGACATGACCTTGGGGCAAGCATTGATAGCCAGTGATCCAGCCTTTATAATCTTCTTGGTTTTTGACGCTTTGGCTCTCTTTATCTCACTTGCTGTCGTAGTAGTCCAGACATCTCTAATTGTTGTTGAGCAGAAGGCCAAGAAGAAGATGGTCTTTGTGATAAACAAGTTGATGTGGCTTGCATGCCTCTGCATCTCGGCAGCCTTCATAGCACTAACCTATGTTGTTGTGGGTCGAGATGATGAATGGCTGGCTTGGTGTACAATGGCAATCGGCACTGTTATCATGGTGGCCACTCTCGGTTCCATGTGCTATTGCATTGTTGCTCACAGGATGGAAGAGAAGAGCATGAGGAAGATCAGGAGGAGCTCCACGAGCCAGTCATTTTCCATATCAATTGACTCGGAAACGGAGCTGATGAACAGTGAGTACAAGAAGATGTATGCCCTTTAGGATATCGGCCATGCTTGTCATTTGAGTCCTGTATATATTGATGCCCATTTGCCTGGGACCAGTCCATGGCATTAAGTGGGATTGACTCAATCAAAACTATATTTAGTCCTAGAACATGGCACATGTATGTAACTGCAGTCTGCATCCTCCGTCCACGAACGTAGGGGTGAAGTCTAGGTGATAGGTGTAGCCACTTTTTGTTGGCAAAATACAAATATTGCCAAGCATGATGTCCCTATCTTATGCTTATTTTTGTGGATGGCAGTGAAAACCATGAGATTGTATCTGTATAGTAGAATAGTATGGAATAAGTTGCCCTTATGTCAAAAGTTATGTGGTCGTGGATGCTCTTATGATGCAACATGAGACTGGAGTAGACTGAGGCAAAAAAACAATGATCACAAATGACCTTTTGGACTTGAACTGGAGAAAACTGGCACAGACTTTGTTGACCGTTGTCGTTATGCGGCATTTGCAGCCGTTCTGTGAAATGTAAATGCCTATGGGCTATGGGCTGTTGTTATCTCCGAGTTAAGACATGACCGAAAATTTGACAAAATTGCTGCTCTTTCCATGGAAAACAAGAAGATATTTTTAGAATGCAGTCCATCTTCACCTCTGAAGCCTGTTCTTGCGTTTCCAGCTGGTTAACCACGGTGTCATCGGCAGCACTCCACAAATTCAGATACCCTGAAGTTTGCCAGCTGTTTGGTCCACCGTAGTCACGTAGAGCGACTGAACACTGCGCACGCACAGGATGACTTGTGGAATTGGCCATTGGACCAGATCACTTCAGCCCCAGCAATGATTCAGTTAGAAGTCTGCAGACAATTCCGCATGCCCCAAACAACAGGCGGCAACTTGATGGTCACGACGAACAGGGGGAGAATATTTTTGTGGAGAACATTGGATTCCAGTCGGGGTCACAGTTACATATTATTTCAACACTGCTTACTCGTTTAACAGTCTCCGGTGTTCTACTCTGTACTAGAGGCACTAGTGGTCAACCTTTTGTGCTTCTATTACATGGGAATATGGGATACTTACAAGGCTTAAATTCAGAAACTTCTACGGAAAGTATGCTGATGAAGATGGAAACGAAACTATGGGTTGACAATCGAAGGAATTTTTGCAGTGGTGTACACGTTGCTACCTTCTTTTCTGCTAAAAGCGCAAGAGTCTATTCCTTGGAGTCTAAACTAACTGCTTCTAATATTTCAACGCCTTGCAGATTAGGAGTTGTATTTACTGACTTACTGTATGTGAACGAGTTCCTTCTCTGAGAGACAAAATATTTTGTGTTAAAATATTTTTTTTCTCAACTTTTGATTGTGCATTCAGGACATGGTGCAAAAGCTCTGTCAAGAAACCACAGTGATTTAGGATAGTGAAAAGTCCCCATAAAAAAAGCTACATGGTGAACATCACTAACATAAAACATGAACTGCAAAGAACTTTCAAGTTACCTGTATTTTCATAAATTACGGCAACTAAGTTTATTCCAATAACTCAATAGGTATATTTGCATACATTGGGTGGAAACGAATGTTACTCTCTCTGCATTCCTTCCTGAAAATGAGAGCGTCCCATCTACTCGTCAGCTGAAACCAGTTCACTTCTTTGCACGGCTTCCAAGCTTTGGCCTCTGCTCCTGCTCTCCTACTCTCCTCCTCCCCTTCAGTACCGCATCGGTGGCAGTGGCACCGGCACCCTTACGGGCAGTAGGCACAGCACTAGTGGCAGCTCTGGTCCTCCCTTTCAGTGTTGCTGTAACCTGCGCGTTGTCTGTTGTTCCAGCAGGTGGGCATGACAGTCTCCTGGTGGAGCCAGCATCCACCTTCTGATCCTTTGCACCAGCTGAAGAATCATTCAGCCGAGGTTTCGCTGTGGTTGCTGCAACGTTCTTCTTCGGTGCCTTGTCCAATCCGGCCACATTCTTGACTGCATTTGACGGCTGAGATTTGTTGCCCGAAGTTTTCTTGGATACTTTGGTGGCTGTAGTAGTAGTAGTAGCAGCAGCTGTTGGGGCTGCAGGAATTGAATTGTGCTGCCTATTGGTCAGAGGTGTATAGCTGGACTTCTTATCCATTCTGTAAGCTGAGTCCTGTTCTTTAGATGGAGTAGGAGCTTCTCTGTTGAGTTTTTTCTTTGATGATTTCTTTGATGATGAAGAGCTGGGCCTCGCTGTTGGAGTTACAGATGTAGTGGAGCTGGAGGTAGGTGATTCAGACGTTGTTGATGCAGTTGTAGAGTCGGGCTTGCTTGAGAACTGTACCAGTTTCACAATATCATAGAAAGATCAAGGAAAGATGAACGCAGCATTTTTCTATTATTTTTTTATTTTATAAACCTGATACTACTGTGTACCAATATAAAATATTTATCTTTGGCTTCGAAACTTGAGCAAACACGGTTTGAAACAGATATGTGCTGAAATGTTAGATACACCAGTTTCAGCAAATTGTCTCAGAAGATTGGGTGATTACTTAATGTTTTGCACTCCTGATGGAGGATTCTAGCTTGGTGAATTAACTTCATCATTTACGCACAAAGGGCGAGTGCAAAATTCATCATACCCTTGAAGTTCTGATTGGCTGAAGTATAGGCAGTTCCTTCTGAAAAATCATCTGGGATGAGTTGGCTTCCATCTCAAGGGAGGGGAACAGTGGGCTCGCTGGAGGAGTCTTGAGCCTGAAAACGAGCTGCTATGTTTTACAATTCAACTGAAGTAATGGGTGCATCTGGATGTAATTAAGACTAGGAATCTATATGTGTTTACCAGTCATAATCATGCTTTTCGCTATCTGGAAGGAGGTAATCTCTCTTTCCTGAAGGAAGCTTGAACATGCGACCATCTCCTATATTCAGTCATTAGAACGCACTCTCATCAGATGATCTGTTCTGGAAAGCTAATTAACTGCACTTTTCTTCTTCTTTTTTAAGATATGGTATAAATCAGTCAATCAAAATCCTTGTTTAGTAAAAATGAAATGAGAATGCATAAATTCTTTTCGACTGGCTCTAGACCCTTGGCAGTGATGATAACAAAAGCAAAATGGATGCCATTTGCTATTAACAAGAACAGGCGAATGACTAAACAGAATTAAACCCTCACCTTGAATAGCTTCAAACTCCACTGAGAACATTGGCTCAAGGAGGTTCATATCTCTCTCTTTCTCATGCTTATACAGCTCCCCAAACAGAACCAAGCTCTCATCTTCATCTCTCCGAACTGGGACCACAGGCGTGCCCTTCGCCATGCCAGTGAATTTCTTCACGCGGTCCATCTGCAGGGGCTCCGGGCGTTAATCACAAGGTGTTTTTTTCCCAGAGCAATCCACAAAAGGCCCTGAGACGCTGGGAGAGCAGGAGCATATATCACCGTGTCCTGCCACACAACACAGGTAGTCAGAATACTCTAGGCACCAAAACTGTGCCGGCAATGCTGAAACCATCCCTGAAGCTCCACACGATGTGAACAAATGCAACAGATGTGTTGGTGAAAGGGACAGGCATGATACCACTGAATTGGGCAAATTGTCAGAGTCGATGATTCGTTCGGTGTGTTGTTCCGTTCTCCTTGGCCTCCATATGGCACAAATGTGTTTTCTTCAGTTTTGTTTTTGTCCTTTGCCTGCAGGCCATACATCTGGAGCAGTTTCCATATGGCGATAGCGGTACGTTGCGTCAGATTCAGAAATGAAAACCATGGCATGAATTGAACAGGAGCTGGAAGGTGCTTCACCTGATCACATCTGATTTCCCTTCCCGCCTTGACGCCTCCCCGGCTCCCCCAGGCTCTGTTCGGGTTCTCCCACTCCACTTGCATCTTGTTCATCTCGATAGTCGCGGTGCATCTCAGCCTTTCTGTCCACGCATGCCCACTCGTCCAGCCGTCCAGGGACCCAGTTTTCCTTCTCCCACAGCGGAATCTCCATCCAGGGCGGCAGCGCGCGGCTGCCATGGCGGGCGCCGGGGGCCTTGGTGAAGCGTCGCTGGGGAGGATTAGGATAGTGACCCCAGGGCTTTCACGGTTTCACCCCTGCCCGAACAGTTAGGTTCAGAAACATCAGTTCACAGAGCTCCAGACTCCAGATCTGAAAAACGTCTCACAATCCTGTCTGATCTTGCCGCAGATGACCAAAGGAACCCTTTCGGATTGCGTTGAGCCGTTGAAGCAATGAAACAAAAATAAAAAATCTACAAACATGCTACGCGTCTGCCGTCTCTGAGTGGGCTAAATTAGCAGTTTCACGGTTCTTCGGGGGAAAAAAACAGTAACAGAAACTGACACCGTGACAGAGCACACCACGACGGTGGAATCAACAGTTAAACATGGCGGTGTGTTACAGTGTTGATTATTACGTTCCCTATTTTTCACTTATTCCCACAGCTACAGCTGAACATTACTTCGGCCTCCAGAACCATTACAGCCAGTGAACATCACTTTGCCTCAACTGAAGCTCTCCTCTACATGACAAGCAACCTCTGCTAGGCTTTTCTGGTAGATTCACTTCTTGGGGAAGCCTTCAGCTTAACCCTGGGCATTCCCTCGCCTCAACTCGTATGCCTGCCTAACTGCATCCCAGAATGCAGGCACCGCCTCTGAGTCAGGAACTTCTTTGAAAGATGGGAGGTAGTTTAGGTCCACTATGACATGGTCTCCGGTGCCTTCTTGGACCTGCATATTCAATGCACTCACTAAGCAGCTATCTTGCTATAGCACTGCTTTTGGATTTCCTTTTTTACATATCCTAATTAGAGAGAGCAGCCAGAACCATAATTGCTTGTAGTTGTACTGAACTTCACGAGCATCATAAATATGTAGGGTCAGAAAATATACTTACAACGACATCAAATCCAAATATTGTAAGTCCAAGCAGTCCCTTCAGAAATTTTGCAGCCTCTTCTACAAGATTGGCATCTAACAGTTTGCTATCTTGCACCCCGGTTTGCAGTTGCTGCTCCTTGGTAGCCACTGGAAGAGTCTTCAAACTGAGACAAGCCAGATTCAAGCATACCTCAGTGTTATACTACCAAGCTCTTACAATGGAATGATAATAAAGCAATCCAGCACTTTTGATTACCTATTAAACGTAAGAGCTTCACCTCCAGATGATGACTTCAGAAAGCGTGCATTGGGCATTGAATCTCTAACAGCATAGAAAACTTTGTCTCCAATCACATAAAATTTGAAAATCTTGGATCCATGATCCACATATTCCTGTAAAATGTTCTTTAGCTGGTGAGTTACTGAGACCTGTACAGCGAAAGCTATAACCAGTAGGAAAGAAATTCAAGAAAAGGCACGATGTTATACTGGTACCTGTAGTACAGCAGGAAGGGGCACGCTAAGGTTGCTAAATTCTTCAGTTTGAAAAACTAATGCCTGCACACAGCAAGAAATGTGATTCCGCTGCAAGTGGAAAAGACAAGGCAAACTCTGAATGCTTAATTTCTGAAGGGCACGCCTGGTGTGAGAACATGAATGCTTAATTTCTTTATGTAAAGGTGATGATTCAGAAAACTGACTTAACATACAGTCCAGCACGTAAAACAATACAAAAACAAAGACAAAGATCAAACCATATTGTGGGCATCAGCAACTCCACAAGCGACTTGTGGCTTTACAATGAGTGGGAAGGATAAATTAGCTTCTGCTAGATGCTTATCTAATTCACCATCATGAAAATTGTCAACCTGTTTTACAAAATAGTTAGTCAGGCAAATGGTAAACTTGAACTCTCAGAAAAAGGGACCAATAACTCAAAAAAGAGTAACCATATCAAAATTACCTTCAAAGAATATGGTGCTCGAAGTTTTGGCTTTCCTTCAGCGCCAAGTTCTTGCAACCGGACAAGGATTTTTTGGATTTGAAGACGATCGAGCAATGGGTAAATATTTTTAAATGGATCCATGATGCAAAAATCAGGGTGCTCTTCCACAAACCTGATTTAACGGAGGGCTGCGGTGAGACAGAATAATGAAGTCCAACAGAGCAGATAATATGTTTAAAGTATCAAATATTATTGAGAAAATCTCCACTTTTCTATGCTCAAGTAGCAACAGAACACATGCCTACATTTGCCTGTTACTTGTTGTTTCAGTATCACCAGTCTCCGCAACCAGAAATGGATAGCAAACTAAAACAAGTCTCCCTATATGTTTGGAAACATTATTAGAAAGGCAAAGGCTCCCTAAATATTTCTGCTCTAGATTGATCAATGCACAAACAGTTGGGTTGATAGAGTTCAAGCTTCTTCATGACAACTCCGATAAGCTGAGATTTAACATTGTCCTGGAAACAATTTCAGAATAGTGACTTGCTATGATGGTCGAATATCAGTCTATTCAGTACAGAAAGTTGGTAGGCATAAGACAGCTCCCCAGAAATTATGTACAAATATTTCAGAGAAAGACAATAAGAGATAGTTTTAAACAGATACCATAACATAATTACTTGAGTAAGATTTTAAAATATTCACATGCACACCCAAGAAATTACTCCCTTCATATCTAAGTTGGTTAGTGCTTTTATACCTTATAATTTCAGACATTCCTGCAGAAAATGAAATCCCTTTTGGAAAATCGATGGAGCAGTTTGGATCGATCTTGACAATCTCATCGGTTATTTTGTGGAGGACCATATCAACTTCTTGCAGTTGCAAACTTAAAGGAAGTTCGAAAGAGAGGGGAACGAAGATAAGACTGTCCTTACTAGGATATATGGGAAATGCTCCTCTCTGTAAGCAAGATGAAAAAGCATGATGCTCATGCTGGAATCCCACACATAGTTGTTAACATTCAGTTACACTTTAAAGAAAACTTGCCTTTGCGAAGTCTTCCTCACGGGATTTTTTCATTATATATCCAATCACCAGAACAGATGAGCCACATATTTCCTAAATCAAAGAGGTTCTCGCTTCAAATTAATAAAAAGGGCAGACCCAGTTCTCGCTTCAAATTAATGCACACTGTAATTACAGAAAGTGTTTAAGTAGAACGCAAGGACAAACTTACCCTTTTTATTAGAGAAGCCAAGGTGAGAAGCAACTCCTGAAGCCTCTGAACATTTAAAACACCAGGAACATCTATGTTACATTCATTACCTGGACCAGTGAAGAGTATCAGTTCCCATCAACCCTCGCGAGGACAAATGTTCCATTATGTAATACAGCAATCGCCACACTCATATCTTGTGCAAAATCCTAATATAAAATGACCTGCTAAAAATAGCATGAAAATAAAACCTGGCTTTTCAGTTCCAGTATAGGCTTACCTACAGAAAGAACTCTCCAGTTCTGATTCTGAAGCTCAGAAATTAAACCTTTGTCAACTCTTGAAGCCACATAAAAACAAAAACTTGTCCGGCTCCATTCTAACATTAATTCAGTTGGAGAAAGATTCCCACTTTTTGCAAGAAGCAGTATAGAGCCAAACAAGTGTGAGCTTGCAACCTTTTCAAGAAAGCCTGACTAATAAAAAGAAATATGCTGTTATATATATATATATATATATATATATATATATATATATATATATATATATATATAAAAACATAGTTGTTAAATATTAGAACAAGTGAACAGAAGTATTTTCATAACAGTTTCATAGGGATACATTGAGTGATATGGAAGTTCCAATAGTTAAAAAATCCTTATACTGAAGCAAAAAGGCAACACATGTCTTAACTGTTGAACTCAAAGGCAATAGTCATTTTTTCTGATATGAAGGATAATAATTACACATGATCAATTGAAAATTCAATGGTCCCATATTTCATGAAGAACTTGACATGATTTATCATGCACTTGATTATATCAGGACATATGCTAGAAATATTGGACCATGCCTAAAGATTATTGAAATATATGCCAGTCATCAGAAATTTAACAGGACGTTGCCTTCAGATCAGCAGTAATAAACTGTCTTTCCATTAGAAGTGACTGGTTTCTCATTCATTCTTATTAACACATTGCCGTTCTTTGAAGACAACATGATAAGCTAGAGTACCCCATGGGCGATGGATAACTAAGTCGATGTGAACTTCTGAAGAGACAACTTCAAAGGGATGTAATATAGATCAGTAGAGCACCTCATTAGTTGGCATGCCCTCTGCATAGCAGATTGCCTGAAAAAAAAAAGGAGGACATAGTCAGATGTCTATTCATTACAACATGTTGGTAACGTACATACTGAAATCACATTAAAAAGCATAACATACAAAAAAGTGAGCCATACTAAGGTGCAAGCAATGTGGGCTCACTATACGAATCTCTCGAGAAACAGTGCTAAGACTAAGAGGCGTTTAGATGTGAAAATAGTCAGCGCAGTTGCCCATGGCTTGCTCAGTTTATGAACTCTTGTAAGCTCTACTGATCCACTGGCAGGCAGCAAGCATTTGAACTTGTTGGGCTAAAACTTGAACACAGGGAACAAGCATCCCATCAACCACAAGATGATGTACACCTAAATGGAATCCTAAACTTTAGATATCAACCAAGCCTTGGATTCGGCATGTAATTGGACCGTTTTCTATCTATTAATGAAATGATACGCAGCTCTCCTATGTGTTCGAGAAAAAAAAGATATCAAGGAAAACTAATAGATTGTATAAGAAACATTCAAGCATATGGCATTAATCCACAGGAGAAAAAATGTAAAAGATTGAGCCTTTAGCCAACTTCCTGGGGCAATCTATCAGCGAGAACATTTCCTCGAACAGTACGGCACTAATAGACAATAAGATCTCAGCCAACTCATCTAGCCAAACAATGACAAATCGCACCAATAGACAGAAAACCAAGTCCCTCATACCACGCTAAGGTTGGAGTAGCGCAGCCGCCGCAGCAGCTCCTCCACCCCGGGCCGCAGCGCCACCGCCGCCGCCTCCCTGGTGGAGGAGGGATCGAGGAGGAGGGAGGCATCCAGCACGAGTCGTACAGACCGCCCCATGGCCATGGTTTAGGGAGGGAGATGCCAATTTCCCACGCCTGGGTTCGGTTTCTGGCTTTCTGCTCGGCGTTGGCACTTCCGCACTTTGGGGCTGCCGGGCTGGACGCCTGAACCTGGACCTGGAGCCGGGCATGGGAAAGAGGAAGTTCCTGAGAGGCGGGCCCAGGTGTCAGTGGCAGGCGTGCGCATGGGTGGCACCTGGCGGGAGGAAAGCGAACAGATGTGCAGCGCAGCAGGTCAGAATTCAGAAATCAGAATACACCTGTTATTATTCTCCTTTTCCTTAGCAGCAAAATAAAAAGAAATCATCAGCCTAGCTTTTCAACTTTCAGGGAATCAGATCCGTTGCCTTCATCATCATCAGAAAAAAAATGTATCTTTCTCCTTTTGTCTTCCCAGTCGAAAAGTTCACTGGTTTATGTCACGGTGATGCAACAAGCTCAGTGATTTGCCAAAATGCGTCCGTTGTGTATTTCATTTGCCATCAGCGAAAGCGCAAGATTGTGCTTCGCATTCGCAGCAAGCGCTACATTTCACTCGATTTACTCGTCAAATCGATTCTTCTGTACAGAGTTGTGCTTCGCGGGCGCGGCACACGCTACCAAACATCCAAACAGATTCTTCCTACGCGCCACTGACGCATCCAAATAGGCGCATGCTACTGAACCTCCGGGACTTGGACAGACCACGCCACCCGTCGCCGGCGACCGGCGGGAACGGCTCGTCCCGGAGACCCTCCTCAGGCAGTGCCCGGACACCCTCGTCACGGGAGAAACCGCGCTCGTCATCGGCCGACGAGCGCGCGGCGAGCCGGCAGCTCTGGCTCCGAGGGGGATGGTCGTAGGCGCCGCCGGGGAACCGCTCGTGTCCCCACGCTGGCGGAGCGCCGGCGGAGGAGAGGCGCTCGTAGTCCACAGCCTGTTTCGCCGCCCTCCGCTTCTTGATCGCGCCGCAGACGAAGGGAATGAGCCCCTCCATGCTCATGTTGCAATGATCTGCAACACCCACCTCAGCAGCAGCGATGGAGATGGGGATGATTTTTCCTGGAGCGGCAGCCGGAAGTAGGAACATGCATGAGATTCTGTAGATGGGTCGATTCTTGGCTTCTTGCTAGCTTGATGTGGAGATGATGGCAAGAAGTGGCTTTCATGTTTCAACAAACGATTCTTATAGGAAACCCGATCGAACCAGATCATGCATGATGTCATAGTTTTCACGGACTTCCCCGTTAGCCGCTGATGGAGCATGCAACTGAGGCATCCCTAAATTTTATAATCCATTGCTGACTACGGCTGAGATACGACTGCACCTGCAACTGCAATTGGATCCGCATGCATGTGAACTATGAAGGTTCCAGTTTGTAACTTTGTATGTTTCCTCTACGACCACCGCCTGTTTGTTGAAAAGAGAAAAGAAAAGAAAAGGTAAACTCAATCAGAGGCTTCACGTGCACTTGCGATAATCTCGGGTAGTAGTGATGACTGATGAACATGACATTGCCCAACGGCCAAGTCCAACTGATTACAACTGAACCTCGAGTTAGTCTCCATTCATGTGTAAGAACATATTCAGACAATCAGACGCTAATACGTGCAGGTATGTACTATGTAGGTCAAGTGCTCAACCCAGCTGAGCTTTACCTGGACCAGCTGCATCTAACATGGAGGGAATATATATAAACAACATCTGTATTCATTTGTGCGGTAATGAAGGCCATCACGTCCCTTGTCCCCATCCCCATCTGGACCGAAAAAACAAGGTTGGGCCGGACCCAAAAGACGGGCCGAATAAAGACTCCCCCTAAACTGATCACAGCAAATAAGGCCTAATAACCATAAAAAAAAAAGCAAATAAGGCCTATATGACCTAGCCGCCCTCCCACGATCATGACACGATCGCTCTCTAGGCCAGGGGCTAGGGCAAGCAACACGCCAACACAGGCACGATCACACCCGATCTGCTCCCGTGCCTCCGCCTAGTCGAGCTCGAGGCGGATAGCGATCCTACTCCCCGGCGCTCCCGTCGTACTGTCACAAGTTGCTGTACAGCATGCGCCCGACCTCTTCGGCTCCGGACTCCCCCTCCTCGCCCGGATCGCCTATGTCGACTCTGCACGCGCCGCCGCCGGCCTATTACCCTACCTCGCCGATTTACTCACCCTTGTCGCCGAACTATCCTCCCATCTCGCCAGGCTCGCCTTGGCCGGGCTATTCCCCACCCCCACCCTCACCGGTTTACCGCGCGGTCCGTTCCCCCACCTCGCCTGGTTATTCCCCGGACGAAGAATTCGACGACTGGTGGGGTGATCATACTACGTCTCCGTGGCCGGGTTCACCGGTCTACTGCCACACCCACACCTCACGGCCGATTCATGGCAACCGCTCAACGACGGCCGGCTCCCGCACCGGGCCGGGTTACAGTTACTGCCCTGGAGAATTCAACGATCATGCATCTCCGGCTCTGCTGGTATCGCCAGCCTACGACTCCCCCACCTCGCCAGGTCATTTTCCAGAAGAATTCAACGATGTTTGGGAAGGCATAACTCTGGCGGACAACGTACAAACCCCGGCATCGCCGCCCGAGTACTGCTACTGTTGTTCGACGGTCCTGCAAGATTGCTGCTGTCAGGCCAGCGACGGCGCCCCCGCGCCGTGAGCTACTTTACCACGCGCCGCTAGCTGCTCCCTGGCTGCTTTGTCAGTTGTCACAGGCAACCCTGAGTCCCTTTGCCAATATCCCGCTGGCGACTGGCGCCGTGGGCTCACCGCTCACGCGTAGGTTATCTTAGCTGCAGTTTGTAATCTCTTGCATTCTGGATTTCTGGGTCACTTCCGTGCAGGTCGTGCTGGATGTCTTTCTGCCTGTCTCTCTCTAAAACAGATAAGTTTGTCTCTGAATTTTAAGCAGTGTGTTTGTTTGTGAACCGTGCGCGCGGGCACTTGCAACTTATAGTACTGAAAGTTGCTACATCATGTATCCATGTGGATTTCTTTGACCATAAATGCATCATCTATCCAGGAAGTACTTCAAGGCACAATCTGAAAACTTTGACATTCTGGTTCTGGCCCATATGGTAGCTTGCTGTGAGGATTGATTGAGGTTGAGGAATGCAGTGGCATAGCAAAGACTTTGTGCAGGTTACCTGCCTGTTAGCCAAAGCCAAGTAGGCATTGTTTTTCCTCGATGCTACATGTACAGTGCAGTACAGAAGCCACTGAATCAGCATGTATCTATGGCATCTGTTCAATAGTGCAACCAGGCGGGTATGAAGGCCATCATCATCATGTCCCTTGTCCCCGTCGCCATCTGGACCGAAAAAACAAGGGTCCGTCTGCTATATCCCACCCGAGCGTTTTGGGAGTAAAAAAAAACACTCGATTCTCTTCTCCAGGCGTCTTCCTCCTCTCAACGCGCCGCTGCTGCCTAGCACCAACCATGGCGTGGTAAGATCTCATCGGAGTTCTGCAGCCGTGGAGCTCCGGCGAAATCCTACCGCGCCTGCAGCGGCCTCCTTCTTCCCCTTCCACTCCCACCGCCGCCATGGCTATGGGCGCCCCCGCACGCTACTACAAAAATAATTTTGCGAGACACTGACCAAACATTAACGAATACGGGCACAAAATCCAACCTTTTCGCAAAATGCTCGAGGATTTTCGGAGACAGACATTTTTATTTATGGGCTTGGCCTGGTGCAGTAGTGAGAGCTGTCTCACTGAGTCACCAGGTCGTGAGTTCGAAGCAGTCTCTCCGTAGATTTTGCGGGGGAAGGTTTGCCTCGGTTTTTCCCTTCCTCAGACCCCACTCATGTGGGATCCTCCGGCACTGGGTCTGCCCTTTTTTTAACCGTCTCGCAAAATGCATTTACGGAGGTGGACATTTTATTTACCGATACGGTCAAGATTGCCCGTCTCGTAAAATCAATTTACGGAGGCGGTCAAAATTGTCCGTCTCGTAAAATCAATTTACGGAGACGGTCAACCTAAAATCAATTTACGGAGTCGGGCCTCCTCAGAAAATGGGTTCATTTTCAGAGACGAACCCCTTAGAAGGCCCGTCTTGGTTAAAAGGCTCGAGGCCCATCAGTAGCTCACTACCAAACCCTAACTATAAAAGGCAACTCTCTCTATCTACTTCACCTCTCAATCCACTTCTCCATCTCTTAGTCGCCGCACAAAGTAGAGCAGCGTTTTCCTTCCCCTTCTCTTGCGCTCTCGAATCCTTCCCCTTCTCTCCTTCGCTCGCGACTTCCGAGAGTAGAGCAGCAGCCACCACTCTCTCTCCGCACCACTCAGAGCAGCCGCCGCTCCCTCTCCACTCCTCTCCATGCCCTGCCTCTCTATGCAGGACATGCGGGCCCTCCTCCGGCACGTGTGGCTGGGCGCCCAAGCATCGGGTGGAAGTAGCATGGCCCACACGTCCTGTGGGCTCGCTTCTCCAACGGCTGACGTACTACGTCCTGCAGGCTCGATCCGATCCGATGGGAATTCGGTGGAGGGCGGCCAAATCTGGTGGACAAGGGCCAAATCCGGTGGAAGGCGGCGATGGCGGGGCAGGTACAGATATCTACATCTCCCTCTCTCTCTCTCTCTCTCTCTCTCTCTCTCTCTCTCTCTTCCCCTCTTCATCTCTCACTCTTCCCTCTCCCCTTTGCGGATCCGCGGGTGGCGGGACTCTAGTGTAGGTAGATCTGAGGGATGCCGTGACAAGATCATGGAGGGCGGCGGGTGGCGTGCGTGGAGGATCCCGGCGACGGTGGCTCCAGAAGCTGGTGTTGGATCCATAACCTAGAGCTTTTTTATTTTCGCAGGGGGCATTGCAATGTGTCCGTCCCCGAAAATACCATATTCATAGGCAGTCCTTTTAACCGTCTCGGTTAAAAGCAATTAATGGAGACCTTTGAATGTAGGCGGACTGCTTGCTCGCCTGGATTAAGCGATTTTGACCGTCTGCCAAAAAAATACTATAGTAGTGGCGCCCACCTGGCCCGGCTGCGGCCAAAACCTTAACGTCGCCCTCCCGCCGTCCCAGCGCTTAGCCGGCTTGCCTTCCCCGAGCCCCTTCTAAGGCCGCCGGATTTGGAGAAGAGAGTGAGAAGCCGGTGATAGAGAAGAAAATTTTGAATGTTGGACTGCTCCAAAACACACAGTTATCCTATAGCATTTCTCAAAACACAAGGTTGGGCTGGACCAAAAAGATGGGCCGAATAAGACTCGCATAAACCACGATCACCGTTATTCATGACACAACCGCTCTAGCCGGCTAGGGCAAGCAACACAGACACGATCACACCCGATTTGCTCCGCCTACTCTCGAGCACGAGGCGGATCGGCGGTTGGCATGGAGTCGCCACCTGACGGGTCACGATCCTACTCGCCGGCTTCCCCGTCGTACCGTCAGAAGTTGCTGGACAGCATGGTCCTGACCCCTGACCAGCCCTCCCCCTCCGGCTCCGGGCACCCCCACCTCGCCCGGATCGGGATCGCCTATGTCGACTCTGGACGCGGCGTGGTGGCCGCTGAACCCTGTCTCGCGCCGGACTACCTCCCCGCCGGCCTATTACCCTACCTTACCTCGCTGATTTACTCCACCAGATCCCCGACGACCTCGCCGATCTATTCCCCCACCTCGCCGATCTATTCTCCCACCTCGCCTCGCCATTATTGCTCCAGCTGGACGGACGATTCCCCACCCCCACCCTCACCGGTTTACTGCACGGTCCATTCCCCCACCTCGCCTAATTATTGCCCGGACGAAGAATTCAACAAGTGGGGTAGTCATACATCTCCGGCGCCGGGTTCACCCGTCTATTGCCACACCCAGACCTCACCGATTCATGGCAACTGCTCAACGGCGGCCGACTCCCCCACCGCGCCAGGTTACTGCCCTGGAGAATTCAACGATCATGCATCTCCGGCTCTGCTGGGATCGCCAGCCTACTACCCCATCTCGCCAGGTCATTTTCCAGAAGAATTCAACGATGTTTGGGAAGACATAACTCTGGCGGACAAGGTACAAACCCCGGCGTCGCCCGAGTACTGCTATTGTTGTTCGACGACGCTGCAAGATTGCTGCTGTTATCAGCCCAGCGACGACGCCCCCGCGCCGTGAGTGCTCCCTCCTTTGTCACAGGTAACCCTGGGCCCCTTTGCCAATATCCTGCCGGCGGCTGGCGCCGTGGGCTCACCGTTCATGTAGGTTATCTTAGCTGCATTGCAGCTTGCAATCTTGATTCTGGATTTCTGGGTCACTTGCCGTGCAGGTCGTGCTGGATGTCTTTTTTTAGTTCGCTTGTCTCTGAACTCTAAAACTTCGTGCTGGATGTCTTTTTTTTAATTCGCTTGTCTCTGAACTCTAAAACAGATAAGTTTGTCTCTGAATTTTAAGCAGTGTGTTTGTTTGTGAACCGTGATTTATACATGCGCGCGTGACTCCTCTTAATGAAACACGCGTCAATGGACGTGTTCTCGGAAAAAATACTTGCGCACCTGCACTTATTATGAGTTATGAGTTACTGAAAGTTGCTACACCATGTATTCATGTGGATTTCTTTGATCATAGATGCATGATCCAGGAAGTACTTCAAGGCACAATCTGAAAACTTTGACATTCTGCCCCATATGTCTAGCAAAGACTTGTGCAGGTTACCTACCTGTTAGCCAAAGCCAAGTAGCTTTTTTTTTTCTTGATGCTACATATACAGTACAGTATAGAAGCCACTGAATGAGCATGTATCTATGGCATGTATCTAGGCGGGTATGTGAAGAGGTCCAATTTATATATATGTTTCCTTCCTAATGATTAATGATTCAAGAAAGAATAAACTGATATATACAGAGGCTTGGCATGCACCTGCGGGCAATCTCTGTATGACACATTCTGTTGACCTGTTCTTGTCAAGTGCAGAGTTGGCTACCATTGCACTGAAATGAGATTCAGGAGCTAACACGTACATGTCTATAACCTCTTGAGCTCCAGCCATCTGAATACTGATCGCAGGCTGTCTCAAGCAACATCTCTGCATCTATTTGAACACCCACCGTCCCCACAAAGTTGCATCTTTTCAGGATCCTAGTCGTATCTGTAATGCTTGATTACAGGCCATCTCAAAGAACATCTGCGATGCGATGGTAATTCTTTCGCACTTTCCTCCATCTTTCTTGGATTTTTATTCCCCTCTTCACTTATCTAAGTATGAAACAAGCTTACATCTGTTTACTAAGGAGCTCACGATCCAATCTCCACAGGTGTTCCTTGCGACAGCGCAACCGCTTCCATTGCTGGCCCCGCTACACCAGATCCTAGTCAAGAACTAAAAATAGAGGAGGCCCCCAACAAGAGAAAAACATGTCTTCGTCCTCATCCTCCAATGCCTCACCGCCCGCACCTTGTGCAGCTGCAAGTGTATTTGTCGCTCCTGGAACTGCCTCATCTTCGAATTCGAGTATTGTAAGGAGCTGCCCCAGATTGTTGCCAAATTCTTCTATCATAGCTGGAAAGGCAAACGCAAGTTCACCAGCATCAACGGTGAATACCCCTCCTTGACCTTCTTGTCCTTCCCCATTGAGGATGTTGTGATCTCAGATTGCTATCGCGGACTCATCCTATGCTAGTGCGTTGGGTTTCGCTACGTTGTCTATAATCCGATGACTAACAAATGGTGGTTATTGTCGGATAACAACCGTTCTTTTGGTTCAGCTCGCTTGGGGTTCGATCCGACAGTCTCCTCACACTTCCATGTGATTGAATATGGGAAGAAGAGGGCCGGTGAGTCCGTAAGTGTGAGCATCTACTCATCTAAGAGTGTGAAAGCTCTAGTTTGGTTTTGGTGAATTGATGAAACCCTAAGTGCTAACCTAGTTTATCAAGTGATCATGAGATAGGTAGCACACTCCAAGTGATGAAACAAATGAAGATCATAGCATGATGATGATGATACCATGATGATGATCAAGTGCTTGGACTTGGAAAGAAGAAAGAGAAAAACAAAAAGCTCAAGGCAAAGGGATAAACCATAGGAGCTATTTTGTTTTGGTGATCAAGACACTTAGAGAGTATGATCACATTTAGGATTGATAGCCGTACTATTAAGAGGGGTGAAACTCGTATCGGAGTGCGGTTATCAAAGTGCCACTAGATGCTCTAACTCATTGCATATGCATTTAGGATCTAGTGGAGTGCTAACACCTTTAAAAATGTTTGTGAAAATATGCTAACACTTGTGCACAAGGTGATACACTTGGTGGTGTTGGCACATTTACAAAGGAGGTGGTGTTTGCAGTGTTGAGATGGGTTTGGATTCGACGCTTTCGGGAAAATGGAATGCCTATTTTCTATTGCGCCGGATGAAAATTCTTGGTGGTTGGCACATTTGAGCAAGGGTGAAGAAGTTAGAGTTGAAATGGAGTTAGTCGAAATGATGTTTGGCGCCGGTCTCATCGACCGGATATTTGAGTCACTCAAATGACCGGACGCTGAAAGGTGCGTCGGTCGTCCGTCGTATCGCCGACACGATGGCTAAGGTTGAGCATCGAACGCTGGTCTGTGGTCCGGTCAAGGTGGACCGGACGCGTCCGGTCAAGAAATACGCCTCGGGAGCTTTATCGAAACGACCGGACGCTGGGCTGGGGCTTCAGCGTCCGGCCGGCTTTTTTGAGTCGAGCGTCCGGTCAAACCAGAGCCGTTGAAATCGATTTAACAGCGTTTGAAGTCTGGTGACGCGTGGATGTCCATTGTGCGACCGGACGCCGAGGGCCAGCGTCCGGTCAAGATGACCGGAGCGTCCCCGGTCGAGCGCTGCTTTTGCGTTTGCCCAGTGAAGGGGTATAACAGCTCTATTTGATTGGGGCTCTATTTATAGCCCCATGGCCGGCTCAAGGGAGAACTCTTGCACATTTTTATTGACATAGCAACCTTGTGAGCTTAGCCAAAGCCTCTCACTCATCTCCATCATTTATCCATCATCATTGTGAGATTGGGAGAGAATCCAAGTGCATTGCTTGAGTGATTGCATCTAGAGGCACTTGGTATTCGTGTTGCGCTGCGGATTTCGCTTGTTTTCTCTTGGTGGTTGCCACCACCTAGACGGTTGGAGCAGCGGTGAAGGATCGGCATGAGTTGGTGATTGTTCGTGGGTCGCCCGGTGATTGTGAGGGAGTTGTACCTTCCCGACGGAGTGCCGAAAGGTAACTCTAGTAAATTGCTCGTGTCATTGAGTTACCTCACTTGTGGGTTGGTTCTTGCGGTGTCCTATCGTGTGGATGAGGTTTATGAAACACCTCTTAGCCGCCGAACCACCAAGTGTTGGTCGACACAACGGGGACTAGCGTGTTGGCAAGCACGTGAACCTCGGGAGAAAAATCGGTTGTCTCTTGTCATTTGTATTCTCCCGGTGATTGGCTATATATTCATCTTGTAATTGGTTCACTCCACGACCCGGCGGTATAATCGTCTCACTTACTCATTTACATTTCCGCAAACTAGATATAGCAAGCTCTTTAGTGTAATTAGAATTGAGAGCTTGCCTTGTGCTTTAAACATATCTAGTGGAGCTCTTTAGTGTAGCATTTGTGAGAGCTCTTAGTGAGTAGTGGTCAAGTAGATTGTGTGCCAATAGATCATTGCAACTAGAATTGTTGGATAGGTGGCTTGCAACCCTTGTAGAGCTAGAGCAAGTTTGCATTTCGCTATTTGTCTTACTAATCAAATTGCTCTAGTTGATTTATAGTTTTTAAATAGGCTATTCACCCCCCCTCTAGCCATATTAGGACCTTTCAGAGTGCAGCATGGATGTTTAAGGAATCTAAATGGGGCGAGGTGTTGTACGCACATATTCGGCAAGTGTGTTTTTAATGGTTTTATGCACTGGCTAGAGTTGTCCCAGATAGTTGCTGTTGATATGCAGGGAAAGACATGGAGGAAAGTTCGTAGGCCACATGGTGAAGCAATCTCTATCCATGAAGCTCAGGATCAGTTGTGTGTATGTATTGCTAGTATGCTTAGGAAGTATCAGCTTTTATTCTGGGTCCTAGAATACTATGGTACCGATAACTAGACACTGAAGCATACGGTGACCACGCTGGAGATATTTGGATGGGACAATATTCAATTTGGTTACGATGTTTGTGATGCGAACTATAGAGTGATTGCAGTTCACCTGAAATAGAATTTGATTTTCCTTGTTGACGAGGACAAAAAACTGATCGCATATGACATGAACCTCTGAAAAGTTCTCGTCCTCCTTGTCCAGGTCGTGCGGTATCGTAGACCTACCTAGAGGCTACTTCTGGAGGGACCTCACTAACTTCCTTATGTTCCCTAATTCATGGAGTTAATAGGAGTGCAATAAAGTTGCATATGTTATTCATTCTTCAGGTAGGGAGTTGTTTTGATTCTATATACAGTCCAATTTTACCTTGGTAACTAAAGCAATTGTATGTTAAAATATTATTGATGCTGCTGCTTTGTGCAGGTTGTGGAGTCTGAGTGCTTTTGAATGATTTTTTCGCAATGGCTGAGGGAGAAAAAAGAGAGGTCAAGCAGGAGTGCCAATCTGAAGGAGTGGAGCACATCTACCTCGTTTTCATTATATAAGTCTGTAGGGAGCAGAACCATTATTCTTCTATCTATGTACCGCTTGTGTTAATTCTTGAGTTGACACAATTGTTATGTTAGTGTCGCTTCTTATTATAAAAAGTACTCTTTGTTGTGGACATGGTGAATGGTGTATAATGATTATATCTGTATTGTGTGTGTTTAGTAAGTTATTAAGGCTCGTATGAATTAATAAATAAATTATAAAAACCGGATGCAATTTTGTCACCGTTGGATGTAAGGGCCGTTGTCTATTTTGTCATCACCGCCATAACACACACCCGCCGTTGGTGAAGCAGATGGACAACACCGCCGCTATTCGTCTCATGCAACATGGGTCAATAGTGTATCACCGCTGAATCGTACTACACTGCGACGATGACCGTTACCAATGACCAGACGGTTCATACGTTGAAGTGACGGTGATGTCTACCTCGATACAGACGCGTCGAACGTCAAAGCGATGGTGAACACACACTGCACACAAATTGGGTCGTTGTGCAAGGCGACTGTGATCCCGATCATTGGTCAAAACGGCAGTGTTAGTGTACACCGACATAGATGGGTCGTGGTACAACATGACGGAAACAACGACCTGATCACAGACGGATCGTAAGCCAACACGGCGATGTTAGTGTACACCAACAGAGGCGGGCCGTGCTCCAATGCGACGGAAATAACGACCTGATCACGGACGGATCATAAGCCAACATGGCGGTGTTAGTGTATACCAACACAGCGTGGTCGTGCTTCAATGCGACGGAAGTATAGACCTTATCATGGACGGATCATAAGCCAATACGACGGTGTTAGTGTATACCGCAGTCAGTCTTAGATAGCGACGGTGAAGGCTATCATCATCACTGCCGATAGCTTACTGCCGAGGCCGAAATTGGACTACGATAAAGGTTACGACATGGCTGTGGAAGGTCCAAGTGTAGTAGTGAGATGCGCTTCCTTGAGAAGCTGCATTGAAAAAGCACAACTAAAATAAACTAATCTAACCTTGTTTCTACATTTTAGCACAAACATGGATTATGAGAAAACACATGGAAAAAAAAGCGGAAAACATGTGTCGTCTGGTTTCTAGTTTCAGCTTATTTTGGCCATAAACGGCTTATAAGCTATACCAAACATGTACATAGTATGAACACAAGCATCACTTGATTTTGATTCTATCAATGACAATGTTAGTTTAGAAATCACGGAGTGTTGTCGTCGAAGTGTGGATATCATGACTCATAGGTATCACTCCACAGACACCAGCAATACAAAAACAAATTTTAGAAAAAATAAAAAATATAATAGAAAACAAGTGTATCCACTAGTAAGAATAGTCTTCTACATAGTTTTGTTGGTCAACATTGGATAATATAATAAATAATGAGACCATTTGCTAGCAAACAAACATAAAAAACATGCCATAGAATATTCAAATAATTTTAATCTAGGCACCTTAAGTTAGAGCAAGACTTTCGGAAAATTCTAAAACTAGTTTGTTAACTTTTTGAGCTAAAATAAATTTTCTATGATTTTTTTCTAAGATTAGAATAGATTTTAGGATTTTTAGTTACATAACTTTTCTAGGAAAAATATTTGATATTTTTTCAGAAAACATTTATAGTCCGATTTAGCTTCTAAATTTTCTTCAAAGTCCGATTTACCCTCTCCTAGACCGCTATCCAAATCCGCTTAAGGCAGGTACATTGCTACGTGTCGGTAGTCTTAAAAGTAAGGAAGATGAGAGTAGAAGGTGGTCGTTCGGTGAAACAACTATCTCATGGAAATGTAAAACTATGAGACAACTATTTTAGCATTATACGATTTAATGTTCACGCAACTCACAAACTTTCCTGTGTTAATTGTATATAAATTAAAGATAATTAAATTACTATAAGACAACTTATTATATGAGTTAGTTGTTCAATTATCTCATGATTATATGGCACCGTATGAGACCATCCATAAGATAATACTAATGTTCTTTTGGAATTTGGATGTAAAACAACGGTTTTAAAAGTCGAGGAGATTAAATCACACTATAGCGAAAGCTAAGGGTTTAAAACGACTTTTTCCTATTGGCAACAGGCATTAAAAAAAAGGCTTACATGCATTCGTTCGAAGAGCCCAGTCAGAACGAATTCTGGCCCGGCCCGTCAAGCCGGCCGCCGGTAGGAGCGGCGGAGCTCCGTTCGTTTCCGCCTTTCCCCTCCTGCAAGTCAACGGTAGATGTCGAGGGGAGGGCGCGAGAGATTGACGAAGCACGAGAGATTGTAACCATCGCTGATCGCTTGCAGGTGCCCATCCTGCTCCCTGTGCTCTAGTGTTGGGCACTTCCCGCACCCCTGCTCTGCTCTGACGATCCGAAGATGGCGAGTCGCCGGGGGGCAGCGGTGCAAGGGGATGGGATGATGCTGAACCAGCAATGGCCGCAAGTTTTTTATTTGTGAGAAAAGAACGCGGGGGAGACGGTGCTGGCGAGGGATGAAAACGGTAAGGATATTTTTGATTGTAATTGAGATCGAATTCGTTAACAGATGTTTAAATCTGTCCGTATTCGAGTCTGGATACTCAATATCCGATACCGTATCCGTATCCGAATACTCAAATTGCATATTTATGATGTTAATATCCAATCGTATGCTATCCGGTATGGTTGATACTATTTGTATTCGAATCCGAACATAAATATAAAATCAAATGTAATATCGACGATATCCGTCCGTATCCTATCCATTTTCATCCCCGAGCATTGGTTGCGGAGAAACATGAGAGAGAGAGATAGCGCAGGTCGTAGCCCCATTTGTCGGCGCCAAATTTTATCAGAGGTAGGGCTACGCAGTGCCGGTAAGTTTCATTCTGCCGGTAGACCCGGAGATTTGCTGCTTTTTAGTTGTAGAGTTATTATCACAGCCGTATGAGTGCATAGCCATTGTGCCTATATATAGTCTTGCAGTAGTACACAGGTTATCTCCAAAGCAATTCATGTTTTACCCCATAATTGTTTGCCTCTTCCACTTGCTCTGAGGGCCATCCCTGAACACTGTTACCTACATAATACACATGCAACTCCAGCTTTTATTTAAGTCATTTGGCACATGAGCAATGAGCCTTCGTGAATCGTGAGCAATAAAAAAATGGCACGGATGCAAATGATCCATATGTAGAGCTTACCATAACTGCTTCTAAATTTAATCTAAAAGCTACGTAAAATCTCAAAAATCTACTTCCTTCCTTACCTGAGAGCCCTACAGAGCTCAGCGATGGTTGCTCACAACCACATCGCAAACAAATTAGATAGAATCCAGCAGGAAACCAATTTGTTCATGATGATCATAGTGGATGATTCATATACAAAAGACCAAAACCACTCTCTAATACCACCAAGGCTAGTTGAAGACCTAGTTATTTGGACCGGACCGGACCGGCGGTCGGACCGATAAAAGACCGAACCAGAGACTATACCGGCTCGGTTCACTTAAAAGACCGTTCATGCAATCAGACCACTAAAAACCGATTGAACCGGCCGGTTTTTTAAGGAACCGGTGAACCGGCCGATTCCATGTCAAACCGTCCGGCTCTCGATTGGTGGCGTGTGTGCTCTCTTGCGTCGCCTCCTGGTGCCACTTTGTGCAGGTAATGCCATTGGGCCCACATGAGTCCGCCGCCATTTTGTGTGCGCTTGGAGCTCTGATCTGCGGCATGATACCTTGCCTCTCTGCATGTGTTGTTGACTTTTGTATTGCCAACGTCAGCTCATGTGTGTTGCCTTTTGAATTTCAAAATTTTATAACTTTTTTATATGATCTCTAAATTAAACAAATGATATATCCATTTTGACTATCTCAACGAGCTCTTTACAATGGTAAACTCTATTTTAGCATTTGAGATTGTTTTACAATAATGAATATTTGAATTACTATTAGATCTTTTTTTACTAATTAATAAGTGTTCCATATACTATATTTCTATGGGTATATTTTGGCATATCCTAAAAAAACTCTATAATACCAAAAAAATTGTGGACTTGTAGCTAGATTTGTTGGAAGTTGGTTATGTAATTGTGTTTTTATCATCTTATCGGTATATATGTGACCAACTATATGTTGCTAATTATATGTTGTATATCATTTTGTTGTACCGATTCAAAGTATTATTATGGGCGGTTCAATTTATCGGGTCCAAAACAATTGAACCGGCTGTTCAACCGGTTCGACGGTTGGACCAGTGAACCGACAGCCTACCGGTTTGATGTCCGGTCCGCTCCTAATAACTGTGCCTGCAAGTCGCCGCCGGCTCGCAGTCGCGGGGCCGTGTGGGTCTGGGGGAAACGCGAAGATAGAGGAGGAAGCGATGGCGAAGTCGTGCAAGGGATTGGCCATGGAGCTCGTCAAGTGTCTCAGCGAGACCGACTGCGTTAAGGTTGGTCGGCTCCGTTCTCCTTCCTTCTCCGGTTCTCCCAAATCCACCCACGCCGCAGCTTGCCGCTGCCTGTTTCGATCCGATTAGGCGCAAGCGTAGTTAGCTGCGGCGGACATCACCCGCAAGCTAGTGCCGGGCGATTGGATCCAGAATGGGTGATACTGGTTCAGCGTCCGAGTTCTCGTGGCCCGGGCTATTTCTAGTCTCCTGATGCGGTTGTGTGCAGGTGCAGAAAAGGCCGTACAAGGAGTGCGCCGGGGAGAAGGCGCCCAACATTACCAGCGAGTGCGTTGGCTTGCGGGAGACCTACTTCAACTGCAAGAGAGGCCAGGTGTGTCCTGATCCTTGCAAATTACTACTAGTTATTCCTAGCTTCATGTTGATAGGTCATACTGCGATTTGGAGTGCCAGATGATATGCCGTGGATTTGAATGTATTGCTGCTTCACTGGAGACGTTGATTCTCCATTTGTTTGGGGGTTCTCCCACATTCGAAGCAGTGCCTAGTGACTGTTGATACTTGATTCTTGAATTGGCCGTGGTGTTAGGTTTTATGGAGGTGCCAATAATCAACATTTAGAGCCGAATAATTAGCAATTAGACATTCTTTGGGCATGGCATAAATACCCGTGCTGCAGCCTAAATAAGATGGTGTTCATGCTCATCCTACTATGTTCATCAGAGTCCATTAGTTTGTGGAATGTTCAAGGACACTATTTCTGATCTCAGTCTTGTAGTCTATTGCTGATCTGATGCCAATACAGAATTGTGTGACAGGTGACGAGTTAGGTTTCCATCTATGCCTGAGTTGAATGTTAAGATTGTTAATAATAGATTAAAAGTTACTGTTTTATGTCAATGTGTATGCAGTGAAAGACCTCTGTTGCAGTTGTTTGCCTAAGTGGAAAACATAAAGTTGTATTTCCAGTTAGATGAGGTTGAGCATTCGCCCCCGTCCCCCCTAGCTTTGCCAGTTTTATTTGTTTCAGTTACTTCACAGTGTTGCTCTGTCTCAATGAATGTTGTCAGTTTCTTAGTTTTTATGGGTGCTACAGCTTATAGTCTGAGGAACAGGACTGTGTGCAACAAATGAAGCTAGAAATTAATTTCAATCTAGCGAAAAGAAATAGTGGCTGTAGAATGATGCTAATCTTTCCCTTGGTGAACGCAATGCTAGTATGGTGGTTCGTCAGCGAGTAGTGGTAACACCCGCCTGGGTTTCAAATCCTAGGTTGCAAAAAACAGATACCCTCACTGCCGCACAAAAAAAAAAAGTGGCAGGGAGCTGGCCTGTGGTTACGGTGCGGTCCTACCAGCAGCAGCAGATAATGGCAGTGGTCACTGGCCTGGTTTACGGTGCGGCCGGTGGCCCTGCCAGCCGCCCAGGTTACGGTGCGACAGGCGAGGCCAGGGTTTGGGGGTTTTCTGGGCCGGTTTGTTGGGTTTTCTTCTCACTGCAAAGCTGTGGGGGCAGCAGGCAGCCTTTCCCCCACCAGTTCATTTTTTTTAAATCTTTCCCTTGATCTTGATTCAATGACTTGAAAAACTTAATCTTGGAATGAGGTCAGAATTAGCATCTTTCTCCCATCTGCCAAACTTCAAATTAATTGTTCCCATCATTGTTGTTAAAAGAGTATGGAGACATACACCTTTGATTTATCTCCTGTATTTGTTAAACACACAAAAAATGTAATTTAATATGCTCATCTTTATGTACCCTTTTGAGTAACACTAACCTGAAAGGTTGAAACACCTGGTAATCCTTGTATACAAAGTTACAGACCTGTGTGCAACTCTTGTGCATTATGTAATAATGGTAATACTTCTGATAGGCAGTCATTTGTTTCTTCCAATTGAAGTACGATTATCGCCTTATCTATGAAAGCCTGATGTTTTTAATTGTACAAGTGACACATAACCTAGCTTAGGAATATTATGGCTTGCACTGGCCCATAGTTATTGCAATTGGTGTCCAAGTTGTTGCAGCATCCACCATATCGGTCCATATATGGCAAACATCTTTCAGTACCATGCCTGAATATACTATTCATGGTCTTCCGTATTATCATTGTTCCGATTTGGTCTTTGATACTGTTATTTTGCTTGCGTGAACTGAATTGCACACGCATTTATTTAAGTAAACATGCAAATAACAATTTTGTTAATTATGCAACAGGTTGACATGCGGGCCCGTATACACGGGAACAAGGGATACTAGTGATGTGCCCACAATCTCCACAACCAGTTTTGGTTTCTAGCCAAGCTTGTGACATTGAGGTGTAATGATAACATGATTTAGTTTGCCCGTGTTCTGTTTTTGATAGGCGAGGGGAACTCACAACACATGTGGCTTCAATTGATGAGGGGAGTCTATTTGCTGTCTACATTCTAGTACTTTTGATACTCTCTCTGTTCCAAATTCTAAGTCGTTTCGGCTTTTGTAGACACATAACTTTATTATAAATATGCATAGCAAAAGTTATGTACATAGAAGAAAGCTAGAACGACTTACCATTTGGAAGGAAGGGAGTATATAGGAGGAACTCGGAGCACATGGATAGTTTCAATCGATGAGAGGATCATCTCAGTATTGGCCTCTAACATGTCTTTTGAAAAAGTTGTTTCCTGTCGTGATGTAGTCCGCCTGCATTTCGCATGCTTTTTATAGAATGCAGGAACTCAAATCAGAGCACGAGTAGTTCCACTCGACGATTATAGTGGTGGATCCAGATGCTGATATCTATCGTTTGTCTTTCCAGAGAAGTTGTTCTATCATGCCCCATAAGGCCATAATGTTCAGGTGGTGTGACCTGTAACTTTTGCGTTTTCTTGAACTGAACCTCTGGACCCTTTGATTGTCTGTGCGCATTTTATACTTAAGCAGGCGAATAATTGCTGAACCTACGTTTTGGCCGAGAAAAATCACTGCATGTGATGCAATGTGTTGAATTTTTAGTTTGACTAAGCTTATAAAAAGTATTATTATCATTTTTATTCCAAATAGGTATATCATGAAAATATGTTAATCATTAATTTAATATAATACTTATTTGATATGTAGGAGTATTTTTTATAGGTTCATGGAAATCGAGAATTACATTCTCAAAAAAAAAACGTGAATTACAATTCTTTTATGCGGTGGAAATAGCAAAGATTAACGAAGGAGCCATGGTTTGACCGGATCGCATGGCAGCGATCCCGGTAAAGCGGCCTCGATGCTTTTCGCGCCGACGCGAGGCGTCCGGGTGCCGCAAAGTGAAACCGGAGACTTCACCGGCGCAAGCCGGCTACGTCTCGTCGCTCCTGCAGCATATCCAGTCCTCTCGTCTTGCTCGGCAGCTCGTGCAACTCAAGTACTCGACTGCCGTTCTCAGTGGAGCACCGAGCACGGCAGTAACACAAACATGCTGATGACCTGCTTTTTTGAAACGAAGTAACATGACCTGCTAAAGGGCTAATCACAGGAGACTGGAGACTGGACTATTTTGTTCCTAACCTGTGAGCAGAATCTGCGGCGCACTGGCGCAGCTTGTTTTATCTTAAAACAAACTTCGCGGCTACTAGAAACACAGTTGTTTAAATGCAATTTGACAAAATAAATAGCAATTCTTATACATAATTCTCAAAATTCCACATCCCATAGAAAATGATTAAGTTTCTGTTAGCACACCTCTCAACTGGTTCACAGAATAGCTCGATTCAGATACAAATCGGAGTACACGACCTCAGGGGAAGGGAGATCTGGAGCAAGCAAACCAATCTAGACGGAGGAGTGGAGAACTAGAACATGGGAAGGACGAGAGTTCGAGACCTACGGATAGAGGCTCGGGGAGGAAGAAGTACAGTAACTCAAGAGGGAGATGGAGATATGTTCGATGCCTTCCCCTTGTTGTTCCTGCGCTCTTGTACATGTCTTCCAGTGGTCCAGGCAATACTCCCCGGCCAAGGCCCAGGGCCCATATGGCGGACCAAACATAGGTAGTCCCCGGCAGTTTCACTATAAAAAAAAACTAACCAATAACCGGATGGTCAAGCTGTTCCACTAAAAAAAAAAAATACAAGTATCCATGTCAAGTCGAGAACACTTAGACGGTGGTTCTACTGTAAAGAAACTAACCAGCTGAGTTCGTAAATTTCTTGATGTTTGTCTCGTACAAAAAAGAAGTTTTCTCGATCTCTGATGGAATGTTTGGTCCTTATAAAATCTTTTTATCTTAAAAAATGTTAAACCTCACCATCAAGATTTACACCACAGTTTTTCTAAAACGAATATTTATGTCACAATTTGAAACAGTTGGCATCAGATGCTGACGGGCTGGCCAAAAAGACTAAACAATGTTCCTGACGCGGATGAGGTCTTGGTACGTCCTTCCAAAAGCTGAGAGTACGCACGCCCACGGCCGCGCCCTAGCCCTGGATATTTTGCAAGGCTTAATTTGCAGTCATCCCTCACCTGATGCAGTTCCTGGATCATTACACAAATCAAGCATGGGAAGACCGTACCATAGTTGACTCGTCACTTTCTTTTCTTTTTATTATCCCCTCGAAAACTCACTACCAAATCAGAGGTTTAAATACACGCAACACGCATGCACGTCACCCTCTATGTAAACATGGAGACTTTAAGAGATAAGGGCGGTAGTTTTTGATCATATCAACATAGTCATCACACGTCATTTATCACTGAAAGAATATAGCTAGACGAGAATGATAGTAGATCACCAGTGCTGAGTCTAGAGACTCGAACATGGGAGGCTACGTTTAATTACAAGGAAAAATGGTTTTAACAATCTGATCTAGGTAAGTTCATTTCCTCACAGTCATTTCTGATCCTATACAATCTGATCTAATAATGATGAGGGATCTAGGATCGGTGGCATCGGTATTCGATTTCAATTTGGTATGGCCTGTACGTTTCGCTTTCTTCGTTTGTCTTCAATCACCATCGATGCGGTACGGTTTAAGCTATCGCTCTCATATGTGATGGATGCTACACGGGTGTGATGCAAGTCATACAGCTAGCTGCTACCCAGTTATTACTTCAATTACATCAGAAATCCTTGTGCTCATGGCTCTCCACTGAAGTACTGAACTAACCAAGTTGCCGTCCTCGAATCCAGTAACTTAATCCATATATACACCATCCAGTGGCTCGATCGTCTTGATCGCCTTGTAAATTACTCGATCTACACTACAATGATGCGTGGTGTTATGATAACACAGAAGATCTGTTGGCATGCATGCATGATTCTAGCTACCATGCCCACGGCCCATCGATCCATCCAGTCATCCACTAACCCTTGCTCTGTAGTACTCCGTTTAGAGTTGAGCTGACACCATCACCATGCATCTTCTTCCTCCGGCCCGCACGCATACCGCGTCACCCTCCACTATGGAGCGTCACCTCACCTCACCTCACCATCATCAACGAATCACTGTCCGGCTGCATCGGTTCTTCTTGGTGGAGTCTAGGTCTAGCCCATACATATGCGCTGCACTTCCCTATCCCACAGAAAAAGATGAAAAGAACGTTACACCTTTTCCCATCCATGAAAGCTGGTGTACATATACTCCGTCTATGTTGTACTATGTAATTTTAAAAAAAAAAATAAGCAAGAAGAAACAAACCACCAACATTCCATCTAACCAGCTTTACATAACTCCAGAAAACACTTGGAATCGCCGTGTCCGTCCATATCTACACATAAATGTCTCGTATTTGAATATATCGTCTCACAGATGAGAACAAATTCATGCCTTCTTATATATAGTTTTATATATATGATCCCCGTGTAGTTAGAGAAGAATGTTACAGCAAAAGCAATGGTAGGTTGAGACGAGTGCTTCAGAACAGTGGCGAGGGCGGCGCAACCTTTTTCGTCGGCTTTTGATCGAGGTGGTGCCGTGGTGGGTGCTGCACGCCTGCACCTGCAAGTACGAACACGGCTACGGACGCTGGTGCAACGGGAAACGTCAGGACAGGTTCGGCCGAGTCGAGTCGAGTCGAGTGCATGGCCCCGCCCGGGCCCGGCGGCGACAGCGACAGGCACTCACCGTCGCCGGGCGTCATCGCCGCGGCGCCCTCGCGGGGGCTTCGGGGAGAGCACCCAGTGCTGGCCGTGCGGCCGGACGGCGAGCCCCTTGACCCTGGCGAACAGCGTGACGGCGCGGCGCACGCCACGGTCGTCGGCGGACGTGAAGTAGTCGTGGCCGAACATGACGCCGCCGGGGCGGAGCACGGCCCACGCCAGGTTGATGTCCGCCCACGCCGAGTGGAAATCGTGCCCGGCGTCCACCTCGATGAGGTCCGCGTACACGCCCCACTCGCACAGCGCGCGCAACGCGGACGCCGTGGAGAAGGGCAGCGGCAGCACGCGCGGCCTGCTGACGGCGTCGTCATCGGCCTCGGCGCCTCCCGCCGCCGCCGCGGCCGCGGCCACGACGTTGGACATGAACTGCGGCAGCAGCAGCGCGTCCCCGTGCCGCTGCGCGGGCACGTCGCGGCGGAACCGGTCCCGGAACGCCGGCCACCCGCGGAAGTCGTCGATGCATAGGATGGCCGGGGAGAGGGAGAGGTTCCTGGACACGGCCGCCATATGCAGCGCCGACGCGCCCAGGAACGCGCCCAGCTCCACGATCACCTCCGGGCGCACCTCCTCGATGAGTTCCGCGAACACGGCGCCCGTCGAGCCCCACCCACGCGGGCGCGCCGCGGCCGGGTGCAGCAGAGCCGCCGTGTGGTTTGGAGGGAACCCCGCGTAGGGGCTCTCGCCGTCGAAGAGCTTGTCGAGCAGGGTCCGCACCACGGCGTCGCTCGGCACCGGCTCCCCGCACTCCTCCTTAAACCGGAACAGATCGTGCGGGGGCGACCGCGGGTAGCTCGAGCTCGACACGGCCGCCGCGCCGGTTCCGTTCGATGCCGCCTGGGAGGCGTTGGAGCCGCCGTCGGTGAGGTGCACGGCGTGCGGCCGTATGATCGTCGTCTGGGACGGTCTCGGTGACGGCCGGGTGGACGACGACAGGAGGCCGAGCGAGTAGCCCACGGCGAAGACGATCAGGAAGGAGACGAGCCGCGCGAGGTGCGGCCGGAGCCTGCCCGGCGCGGCGGAAGCAGACGACGCCCCCGCCGGTGGACGTGGCTTCATGGTCACGGACTCACGGTCACGCCACAAAGAGTCTCCTTTGTCTCCGTTTGCGGTTCTATCTTCTGGAGTCTTGAGTCTTGACAGGCAGAGACACCTTATGGCTCCTTTATTCTTCGGTTTAGCTAGATTTTTATCCAAGGATTAGGTTTTGGATTCTGCGTTATATTTATAGGTAGAGAGCTGCAGCTAGCAGCGGTTGTTAGCTCGTTTATATTAGTTTGATATATTACCCCTCTTTGGTTGGAGCGAAGATAGTAGTATAAAACAAGCGCCAACGTTTAAAAAGATGATCTTTTTTTTAGATTCCTACTAGATAAGAGGTACTTTTTTTTCTTGTTAAGATAAGATTGGAAAAGAGAAAAATTGAGGTGTTGGTGAGGGGTGATTGTTCCGGTTGGTGCGTTTTGGGTGGCGAATCTGATGGCAGTTAGGACCAGGACTTTGGAATAAGCAACAGCGCGCTGGGCTTTGGTTTCACGAGAAGCACTGGGAATTCTCACGTGTGCAAAGTACACGAAAAGCGAGCGTCAGAGGTATGTGATGCAGGCAAGATCTTCACATGTCAGTGCAGTGCGTGTGGACTTGGAGCATGTTCCTCCACCACGCGACAGGGCTACTGTGTGAATTGTGATGGTTGCTCTGGCCTTCTGGGTGCTATGAGTTCTGACCGAGTGAAGCTGTAAAAAGTAAGAAGGAAGCTGCAAATCTGAAACACAGGAGGGGTTCCTTGTTGAACACATGAGGGCCACGGAGCTCTGGTCTCGAGTCTTGTGGACGGTGGTACCTGGCTGCAAGCAGCTAGCTAACTCTGAAGTTTGGACATGAAAAATCGTTGGAAACGATCAGCTCGTGCGGGTGTCCAGTCCAGGTATCGTCGTTGAAATTGATCCGCGGTACGTTTCCGACCAAGCCTCACCCTCACACAACCACAGCCCCACTGTCCATTCCCTTGAAACCGGGCACACAAAACACTCGTGAGCACAGGCAAAACCTTCAACACACCTGCTTTTAGACGGACGAAGTCTCCCGTGGCGCTCAACCTTCCTTAGATTCTCAACAACCGCGACCGGACACCACGGCCTTTTCCACCGGCACGGCCCAAGCGCGGCCATAGTGGTCAAACCTCTCGCTTTCAGGTGCGATGAGCCAAGAAGAAGTCGTTGCTGGTGTTGACAAGCCAGAGGTGGAATGAGAGAGGGACAGGGGAGGGCCGTCAGCCGTGGATGGCATCGTCATGGTTGAGGACGGTCGTCAGTCAGTACTCTTCAGTAGTCGCTGCTTCGGCTGGTGCAAGTAGAATGGGAAGCGTAGGTTGGTTGCCACGGAGCTGTCAGGTCAAGTGCGCGCGCACCTGCAAGCACGGCGACACTGATCGGTTGTCCGTCTGGCCGGCCGATGGGCAGCGATCAATGATGTGGATCACTGATTTGCTGGGGTTGGGTTGGGTGCCTGGCGCTGGAAGAATCAGATCAGATGCATGCCGCGCGCTCGGACCAGCTGTACGGCTGGTATCAGTCACGCCGCCCGCCTATCGTTCCGATGGGTGTCACGATACCGATTGCGACATCTCGATTACAAGAGTTCACCGGACCTCGTGGGAACGAGCATAGCTCGCCGCCGACAAGCCTATTGGCTTCTACTTCCTTCCCACTGCGTCTCTAGCCTAAAGGACACTTTTTTTAGGACTCTATAGCTAAAGACGTTGCCTTGTACTCACTGCTCCTCTCCCTAACGTGTTGGGCCTTCATATTCACTTTCTCTAGGGTGGGCCTTCATAACGTGAGTTGGGCCCTCGAGCTCTCTTGGACCTCCTTGTTGGCTGGATTGACTCGCCTTCTTCCGGTTCATCATCTCCGGCTTCTATATTCTTCTAATAAACAAAAATCTCCGGCTTTGGTGCTCACCGTCAGTACGAGGGATACTGACATCCCTCTCGCCTTGAGAAACAGCTTGAACCCCAAGCTGGTGCGTCCGAGAATTGCAACTTCAATGCATGTTCATCCTCCCATGTAGCCATTGAAGCCAGCCAAGAAGACCACTTGATTAGCATTTGAGGAATAACAATAGATTCAAGCTTGTGCAAACGATGGTCTAGGAATAAGTTCAGGTACCTGCAAGTAGATGTCGGCCGGTGGAAGTTGATCACTGACATGTGCACAAGGACAGAGTGCTTTCTTCAACAATGATTTGTGGAAAACTGGATGAACCGAGCTTGATATAGGTAGCTGCAGACGATAAGCGACAATCCTAAGTTTCTCTAGGATAGTATAAGGTCCAAAGTAACGAAAGGCAAGCTTGTGATTAGCACGGCAAGCCAGAAGTTTGAACATAAAGTTGAAGCTTAAGATAAACTTTGTCGCCCACAAAAAAGGTATGGTCAGTTCTCTTCTTGTCTACTTGTATTTTCATACGTTGTTAGGCTCGATGAAGATGTTGTTGAAGCAACTAAATCATCATTTTACGTTTGGCCAGACAAGTCTTTAAGTCTAGGTGTGCACAGGTCTCAATACCATCAATGCCAAAATATTTGGGTTCATGGCCCGTAAAAGAACCTAAAATGGTGTTGTAGCCAAAGCTATATGGTAGCAGGTATTGTACCGGTATTCTGCCAGGGAGAGCCACTCTCACCATTTGGAAGGATAGGCATGTACAAAGCAACGCAGGTAAGTCGCAAGACACTAATTAACACGTTCGCTTTGGTCATCCGTTTCAGGGTGGTAGGTTGTGCTGTGCTCATGAGTAAGTCCGTGCCAGCTAACTTGAAGAGATTTTGCCATAGAGAACCGGTAAAAACTCGATCCCTATCTGAAACAATTATGGTTGGAAGGCCATGAAGCTTGTAGATATGATGAATGGACATCTTAGTCCTGTTAATTAAGACAACCAAAGGGTGTTTTTATGCAAGGAAATGAGAGTACTTTGAGAATTTGTCCACTATCACCATAATGCAATTGAACATGGAAGAAGTAGGGAGGCCCTCAATAAAGTCCATGCTAATGACCTGCCAAGAGTGATCTAGCACATGAAGTGTTGTAGAAATCTAGGATAAGGAATTCTTTAAACCTTGGCTTGTTGCCAAATGGAGCAGTGAGATACAAACTCGTTGACCATGGTTTTCATCTTATACCAAATAAAAAATGGCTTTGATACGTTTGTAAGTCCATCCTCCTCCTCACATCAGCATGGTTGAGGAGGACTCCCACGACCAGCTGTTGTTCTACACAACATGGAGCATGGCGCTCGCACAAAGGAACATGTTGTATTGGAACAACACAAATCACTCTCCAAGACTCGCACCGCATGGAAGATTTTCACCCTCTCTTTGTAACCCTACCCCCAACAATATAAGGGGCATCATGGGTCTCTTCTTCCGGATGAAACCAAGAGACGCCAGTGTCTCAGCTTAGTGTCTCTTGATTTTAGACTCGTTCTCCCTCTCTTTCACTCCTTATTTTCTAACCTCTACTGCAAAAATCGAGCCCTCATGCTAAGGAACATGATCCAACACCACCGAACAGGACGTAGAGCACGTTGTCTGAACCAGTATAAATCCAGAGTCTCTAAGTGCTAGCCATTCGAGGCTACATGTGTGACTATAAATTTACTAGTCGACATGTGAATACCCTTGTTACAAAATATTGACAAAAAGGTTTTGATCTACTTTAAAAAATAAAACTACAAAATTATATTGCAAAATTTTCTTCTAAAATTAAGTTCAAATTTGAGTTTAAAAAAGTCTTTAAAAGTTTTTTAATTTGTTTTAAATATATTTAAAAAATATTTAAAATTTCAAAATAGTTTAAATACATTCCAAAAATAATAAAAAAATCTTTCAAATTCTTGAAAATGGTTAAAATATTATTTTGAAATTAAAAAATGGGTTGAAAATAGTTTTAGAATGATCATTTAAAAATAAAGTTTAATAAGGATTTTATAATATGTTTGAGAAACGTTAAATATTTCAAGTGGGTTTAAAATTAAAATTTCTAAATTTATGTACAAAATTTATTTTTTTTGAACCTAAATAGTTTAAAAATAATATGGAGAAGTTGTTAAACCCAGGTTCTCAAAAAGGAAAAAACTTTTTCATTTTCCTTTTCTTCTTTCTCTGCGTTTTGACCTGCATTTTGTTTACGGCCTGAAAGGCCCAGCCCTTGGGTGCTTGCCGGCCCGCAGCGTCCCGCTCCAGCTCCGTCAGCTGGCCCGCTAAGGACTCCCGCACCAGCTACACGCACCGTTCCTCCCTTGCAGGCTGGGCCGTGGCCCAGTAAGGCTGGGCGCCAGCACCTCTTCTTCATTGCTAGTGCTCAAAAAAAAAAAAACCCCCCTCTTCTTCATTGTTTCCCTGACCGAGCGGGCCCACGGTCATCCCCTGGCCCTGTTCTTCTCCATCCCATCCGCAACTGCCATCAGCAGCAGAGCCGGACTTAGAACTCGACCGCGCCACCGACTTCGACTCGATCCGGCGCAGAACTGCCCGTACCTCCGCACGGACGCCGAGAAGGGACTAGAACCGAAGTCATTACTGTGCGCCGCCAGATCGAACCCCCCAGGTTTCCGCACCGAACCGAGCGCTCCGTGCCCTCTGTTTTCGTCCGCGCCGCCGCCCTTGAATCCTGCCTGCCTCCGCCTCGAGTTCTCTCTCGATCCACTGCCGCCCGTCTGTTGTCATACAAGCCGTGGGCGCATCCGCAAGAGTGTGAGGAGATTCCCCGCAGCCCGATCGCTTCACCGCCACCATCGTTCTTGAGTTCACCGTGACACGCCGTGACCCCACGATGCCATAGGGCCGCACGGAACGTGTCTAGGTGATGTACGGCCGGAGATTGATGTCCCGGATGAGCATGCCCCGCCGTGTTCTTGAGCTCGGCGAAGAACACCGCCGTCGCTCCGACCTCGCGTTTCGCGCCACCTGCGCTGCGCCGTCCTGCACAGCCGCGCGTGCACCGTGCCCGCCGTCGCCCGGGCCGCCCAGGCCCCAACGCCCTGGCGCTGTTGGC